ACGACTGGCAGAGTTCTTTTTGTATGCTGCCCCAAGGGGATAGACGTGCCAGCAAAGATGAGCTTCTTAGAGCTTGATCTCGCTTATCTAAAACATTATGGGTCGTCATAAACTTTATGGATGCGGGACACCTCCAGATTTATATAATAAATCCATCCGTTTGATGTTCCAGCTAAAATTATAAAACCCGGACCAGTCTTGGGCCAAGGATCAATGCAAGGGTAATTCAAGGACTTCAGCAAGCAAAGTAACAGGATGCTTTACCTGTTATTCTTGCATGTGAGACATAAAGTAGATAGTAAACAGCATTTTCATTGATTGAGTCGTACACCTCTATACATCGGAGCATATACATGAGTATGTACATAGGTTCATGATTGAACAGTTATCATGTCCATGGCCCAGCGCCAGCATCCAGGTCAATTGAGGCCACTTCATAAAAGGGAGTGTGCCGATTTCAGAGCAAGAACTTCACCTTCATTTCATGATAGACATTGAGTGGCTAATCCATACAGTCTCAAGTCCTTACCTTAGGTATGTGCATAAACGGGAACATGAAGCACTTAACTATCCGACACACTAAAAATTATTTCTTACTTGATTAACAGTTTATAGTTGATATTGCTTCCCTTTCAACTGAAGCAAAACTGCCAGCAGCCTTACCTTTCATCATGCCGCGCCTCCGTCTGACGGTGACACCAATCGCCGCTATACGTTTTCGCCCCAGCGCTGCTGATCAATCGCTGCCGGTTGAACTCGGGGCGGATACATTACGGATCACTACCTACCAGTCATCCCCTCATCGGCGGGCTGCCCGGGGGAGGTCGGCAGCTGCACCTGTTACAGGATGATTGCAGTTTGAACGCGGCTCCTCCGATGTTCGTTAGTCCGCACCGCCGCGCCGCCGGCAGAGACTCGGAGAAAGATTGGCGGAACGAGACGAGGAGAACGATCACCGAACGAGTGAACGAGCACAGACTGAAGGTCGGAGGTGAGGCTGATATGAGTTTGAGAAGCGTGCTGATTTTGATGACAGTGATGAAACCAGCCAGCCATTCACTTGTTTGAAGAGAACATAGGCGTGGATCTGCACAATGTAAGTCCCTTTGTAAGTACTTTGTAGTACCTACACAATGTCTACCTATGCAATCATAGGCGGCGGAACGGGGAGGGCACCGGGGCACCGTGCCCCCCTTTGATTTTGGCATTTTAACATTAGCCCTATGGGCGTTGCATTGAAAGAATGGGACCAAAAGTCGGCAGTGCCCCGGCCCCCCTTAATTGAAGGTGTTCCGCCGCTACTGTATGCAATAGTGCACAGTTAAGTTATACTAACTTCGACACATTCATTTATATAACTACTGGATACCAAGTTATCATTCGACAGAACATTTATTGATTTTACAGTGTTTTCTATCGTGACACTACGCCAGTTAGGGTAGCCTGGGGCAAGACGCCCCAGATAATTTATTTTGCTACATAACTTTTGTCCTACATAACCTGGAAGGCCAAATTTGTGCTCAATGCGTTCTTTGGACATTTTACTTTAAAGTCCACCCCTCAAATTCATTCACTTATGATCGGACTCCCAGCTAGGAAGTGGTTTGTGAAGCAACTGCAAATAGGGCGTTTTGCCCCAACCCCAGGGCAAAACGCCCCACGGCCTGGGGCAAGAAGCCCCATACTCTAGATTAAAGATTAAACATGCTAGTTGACTAAATCTTATATGAGAGGTCCGTTAGACCTTGGGAGGCACGGCACTGAAGTTAGCACCTTCCATCCTATCAGGTGTTCAGCTACGACACTATTGTATGAGCAGGTTTTTCACCTGCCTCATAAGGCCAAATAATAAATTATTGCAATGCAAATGTTAACAAAATACTTCCTTTGCCATCCAGTTGCTGAGAAAAGTACATATGAATGCATAGAAACATACCATTCGCCAGCTACCGAACATTAGGAAGTGGGTAGTCCGAAAAACACATGAGGTAAAACGCCCCATGGGGCTTTTTGCCCCGCGACCTACTGGGGCGTTTTACCCCATCACGTAGTTCGGTCAGAGAACAACGCCTTGCACTCCAGGAAGACATAATTTAACACGAACCAACCCGGCATTATAAGCGTTAGACAATAGTTGTTCAAAATACATAAAAGTCGTTAACCTGATGTGGACGATAAAAGAACGCCATGATGCATAATCTGACAACAAAACATAAAAATCACTCCAAAAACACATTTTTGGCTATATCTCCCTAAAGAGTCATCACAATTTCTTTCCAGTCTGCTCATATAATGATCGTATAGTGCACGTTTTATAGAAGAGAGGATGTTTCCCCAGAACCTTGCCAGTTCCGAGAAACATCGGTGAGGCGTTTTACCTCGGCGGGGCGACTTGCCCCGGTCTACCCTACGTGACAGCTCAGAGAACTGTGACGAAGTATGTATGTGCGCTAGACGTGCGTACGAGCGCGCGATGTCAGCCCATGTTCGATTGCTGCCGAATTAAATATGACATCGCACACACCTTTACGGACATTGGTGAGACGAAGTTTTCAAATGGAATCATCTACTAACTCCAGAAAAGGTCATTCAAGCTGAAAGTTCTACTTGTCTGAGGCTGCCACAATTCACTTGAAACTTATCTTGGCCCGTTTAGTTTAACGCACAAAAGGTGACACTTTGGCTTCTTTAATTGAATTAAAATGAGGGAGGGTGATGGCCAACTCAGCTGAAGTGCCCTGAGGTCAACTTAAGGCGTCCGGGGTCAGCTGTAGTGTCCGGGTTCAGTTAGTTGTAGTGTCCCGGTCAGCTGTATAGTGTCCGCAGGTCAGTCAGCTGTAGTGCCGGGTCAGAGTGGTGTCGGCTATAGTGTCTGGTGTCAGCTGTAGCGACCGAGGTCAGCTGTGGAGTGTGCGGGCCTCCGGGGTCAGCCATGGCTGTAGTGCCTGGGGTCAGTTATATAGTACCTGCAGATCAGTGGGTCGGCTGTAGTGTCCGGGGTCAACTTGAGTGTCCACTCCCCAGGGTCAGATGTGTCCCAGGTCAGCTGTAGTGCCTGTGTCAACTGTAGTGCCTGTGTCAGCTGTATGTAGTGACCGGGGTTAATTGTAGTGCCTGGATCAGCTCTAGTGCCTGGGTCAGCTGTATAGGTGTCCGTTGCCAATAGTGGTGTCCGAGCTCAGCTGTAGCGTCCGGAATGAGCTATAATGGCCAGGATCAGTATAATGCTCAGGATAAGCTATAGTGTCCCGGTCAGCTGTGGTACAAAGGATTAGCTATAGTGCCCGGGTCAACTGTAGTATCGGGTCTCAGCTGTAGCGTCCGGGGTCAGCTGTAGTGTCGGGGGTCAGCTACAATGTCCCGATTAGCTGTAGTACCCAGGATCAACTGTAGTGTCCGGGTCAGCTGTAGAGTCAGGGTGAGATGCAAGTGTCCGGGCCAGCTGTAGTGTCCGGGGTCAGTTATAGTGTCCGGGTCGGCTGTAGCGTCCCAGGTCATCTGTAGTGTCCCGGTCAGCCGCTGTGCCGCCACCGGACGGTCGATCCCGCTGTCCGCCCACGGTCCATCTCGTTGAGGCGGTCGCCGTCGACTGCCGTGCCGCCGGGGGCTATCGAATCTGGAGGCTCCGTCAGCGAGTCGGCCGCCTCCGTGACAACGAGCCCTCTACGGCCGCCGCGGTCAGGGTCAGAGGTCAAGGTCGATGACCCGGTCTCCCTCAGTGGTCAGCTCAGGTGCGCCCTAAGGCACTGTCAGATAATCCCCCTGTCCGGCCGAGCCGCTGAGATCACCGGCTCAATGAACACCTCTCTGAGGACGCGCACGCCGCACACGGCTGGCGGAGCCTCGTTACTGAGCGGCAGCCTGAGGCTGGATGTAGCGAGACGGCTCAGCAGCGGCGGGACATGGCTGACGGGCACGGATTGTCGTCCGGACGAGATGAATTGCGGTCGAGACTAAAACAAAACTGAGGCGGCACACATTGAGACAGAATTGAGAATGGGTTACAGCGTCAGCTATGCTGGGACGGTTTTGAGACTGCACTATAGCCGACTGAGGCGAGATTGAAATGAGATTGAGGAAACACTTAAAAGGTGGAAAGTAGACACTGCTACCTATTTTATTGAGAAAGTGCCAAGTCAATAAAATATGGCAATGAGTTTATATCAAATTTCAACTTTGCTGGGATAAAACTGATACATAGTGGAATCTGCTCGCTCTGCCGGCTCGTTAGCTGGCCTCGTTTGGTGACACGGCCCCCGGCGGCGGCACTGACGCGGCCGGAGCCGGCCGGCCGTCGTCCAACACCCGCCTCTCCAGTCGCGCTGTCAGGATTAAAAATGGAGCGCAGCCCCGACATCATCGTCATACGTCATTAGATAGATGGCACCATTCTGAGAGCAGCCTTTTGAGGCCACGAATAGAAGCGACGCAGCTGTTGGCGCAGACGCGCTCATGGCTCTGCAGTTGTACGACTATCATTTACAATATTCGGAGGATACGATGAAATATTGCTTATCATTCGAGCGGCTGTGTGTGAGATTTGGATTTATTCTACGTGGGTAACGCGTATGGTCAGACTTTTGCCAGAGTTCCAGATTTCGAGGAATCCATAATTTAAGCTTGCATTGAATTCTAAAAGCTGGGTTACAAGTTATGGATCTTCAGGATTCGGTGTATGAAATTCTGATCTTCTCTGAATTTTTAGATAAAGCTGATCAGCAAATAGTTCAAGAAAAATACATAGGTGCAGTACCATAGAACATATTTTCGGTCTTAAAAAATGCACCCCATTGAACATTTTAAATCACAATTAATCACCCCGCGTTTTACATTACCTCATCTCATGGAAAAAGTCGTAAAATAATCAATGTTTGGAAGGGAGAGAGAGAGAGAGAGAGAGAGAGAGAGAGAGAGAGAGAGAGAGAGAGAGAGAGAGAGAGAGAGAGAGAGAGAAGAAAAAAATATGTCGATATTGAATTGCCTGATTTGTTTCCATAGCATTATTTGCAAAAGGTTTATTTTCAATGCAAACACGACAGACATGATGTTGCACTTCGACAGTTCACGCGAAGCAGCACATTTTTAGCGACGTGCTCAGTTACTCACACTCATAGAGCTGCTCATACATGATAGCCTAAGGAAAACACTGCCCCCAATACCGGTCATGCAGCTCACAGAGGGCACTGATCCCTATAATGGTTGGGTCAATGATCCTATAATGGTGTGTAGCATGTTCTCCAAAGTTAAATGTCTACGACGGTTGTCGCATCCAATCATTGCTCTTTTCGCACCTCTCCTCTGCTTATGACATGACGTCACTGTGAAACGTTCGCCTAAATCTAGCCCGCAATGAAAGCGAAACGGTAAAAAATGCGGGGGCATTGCTGACTAGCATCAACGAACATTTCACATCGGTGACATAAATAAATAAAAAAGCTTTAAAAAAATGTCAGGCAAGATCTTCTCATAATTGGTTAACGCACAGAGGCGGCAAATATAATATGCCTAGCATATTCCTAAGATGAAAGTATGAAGGCAGCAAAGACCTTTCGTTAATCGTTACCATACAATCTTCTTAAAATCGTTCATCGTTAATTGCTAGTCGTCATTCGTTAAATCGTTAGTAAGTGCGAAAGACGAATATGCAAAAATGTGTCTAACTCTTACTTACTAACGATTTAAAGACTAGCGATTAACGATTAACGATTTTGCGACGATTGTAAAGATAACAATTAGCGAATACTCCGAAGATGTTATAGTTAAGTATGTAAATATGATGCCCAGTTGATATAACAGGTTGGTATGAGTTAAAATAGGATAATAACTTCATAAATGACAAACTTCAGTACAGAAATGTCTTCGACTTTGGCACCACTTACAGACGTCATTGAACCATTTGCGTTCAAAAACATCCAAGCATCAGTACCCCATCAACATTGCTGATCATCAACAGCAGATCACCTGAAAAACTGTGATCGAGAGCACACACGGCTTTCCGTAATGGCTGTCTCATCGGGTAGCCGAGCAGACTCTACAACAAACAGCGGCCTGCGAACCCGCTACCTCATCAACAGGTTATGGCTCCTTTCTAAGACCCCAGGACACTCAGACGCTGCTGTTGACGTGATAACACTTGGCTCACATCACAACACGGTGACAGTCACATCAAAGCTCTGACGTCACGTCATCTGACGTCACCAGAACAGGGCCAGCGGGTCCTGTGACATCACTGGGTGTGACACTGTGACACAAACACTGTGACACTGTGACACAAACACTGTGACACTGTGGCACTGTGACACTGTGACACTGTGCGGCCGGGGCCCGGGGGCGCGCTGGCGGGCCGCCGTCTGTCTGTCCAAGGACCCGGCACCGCTCAACTTCCGCCACTCGATGGAAGCGGCTCGCCCACCCGGCATGTCACAAGGTATCCTGCAGCGGCGCGGCCGCGCGGCCAGCTCAGCGCCTGTTTTGGCTCCCATTGCCGGCGAGGTATGTCGCCAAGTTCACTCGGTCACCGGGCACACTCCGAAGTTCTCCGCCCAGAAGCACTTGCTGCGACTTCCCCTCCCTCCCTCATGGGGGGCGTCAAGTAGTTCAGGGCTGATCCCGGCGGCCGCCGCTCAGTTCCGCCGGGTGTCACTGAGTTCCGCACACCTCCGACCGGCCAGGGGTCGGCTGATGCGACTGGTTATCATCTGACGCAGACGGCAGTCGTCATCAGTAGGGCTGACGTCAGTAAGACCGCTGAGCGCGCCGGACTCGCAGAGCCGTGCTGCATGGCCGCCGGGTGTTCTCCTGCCGCACAACACGCAGTCAGAGGTCAGGGTGAGCTCAGGTCAGAGGTCAGGGCGGTTCAGGTCAGAGGTCGGGGTGGTACAGGTTAGTGGTCAGGGCGGCTCAGGTCAGAGGTCAGGGTGGCTCAGGTCAGAGGTCAGGGTGGCTCAGATCAGAGGTCATGGCGGTTTAGGTCAGAGGTCATGGTGTGCTCAGGTCAGGGGTCAGGGTGGCTCAGATCAGAGGTCAAGGCACAAAGGTCAGAGGTCAGGGTGATTGAGGTCAGAGGTCAAGGTGCTTCAGGTCAAAGTTCAGGATGGTTCAGGTCAGAGGTCATGTGGACTAATGTAAGAACTCTCGGTTTTCGGGTCAGAGGTCAGCTCAGACTTCATGGCCATACTTAGAGGGCAAACATCGAGGCATATTTCAAGGAAAGCGTTAGTTTAGGTGATACAGATGGTATAAATAAGTCAAAACACACCAGCTGCACTTAACCACCTCCTTATGTCAGAACGATTTTTGACTGCATCTTCACCCAAAGGCCGTTCAATATTTCTTTGCATGGCTGTCAGCAAAAGTGGACCAAGCCGTTGGCTGCAGACGAGAGATATCCACCGTTCTAGGAAAGGGCACGAATAATAAAGACATTTGTCAGAAGTCATCCGGTTTTATTGGCTACAAATTTATTGCCGCCCAAATCAGAGATGTATCCGCATTGAAATTAGGTTGGCTTGGATGCTTCAAATAAATTGTAGCATATTTGGATGAAGGATTTTCAGAGAATATTAACAGCTACTTACACAGTGAACAGTATATCTCTGAAATTTGTTTTTAGTCTGGGCTTCGCGAGCAGCGGCGGCATTATTAAATGGACGGCGCGCGATCCCTGTAGTCTGTAGGCCTGAAACTCGGACACTTTATCTTCATCTCAGAAACGATATTAAAACGTCCGCTGTTCCAAACTAACCAGTGTACCTTAGCTCGGTTTCTTCCATGCATCCTCGGGCCGGTCACTCAATAAAAGACACGTAATGCATATTTATAGCCCTAAGTTTAACCCGCGCCCGGCTGGGGGTCCTGGATTTCCACGCCCTGCTGGGGGGGGGGGGGGTGTTTGAACACCCCCCCCCCCTTCTAACTCGGCTCCTGGGCCACGTAGCGATACGCGGAAGGCGGCGTTCGAAAGAGCGTCAAAAATAATGAGGAAATCACTTCGGTCAATTTTTTGGTCAGGTCAAAGGTCAGGTCACCAGAGGTCATTGAAGGCAAATTTTCGCCGATTTCCAGGTCGAATGTCGAAAATTTCCAAGAAGCCAACGCATAACTCGGGAACCAATAGAGCTACAGCGCCGCGGAAAAGCGCATTCGATAGCCCTATTAACGCCCTTTCTGAGTGATTTTCTCAGATTTGACCTAACGTCAACGGTTTTGCCTGCAGGGGGCAAAAACTGCAAAAATAGCCGATTTTTTCGGAAACAGTTTTTCTGCAATAACTTTTGACCCAAGCATTGTGCGAGCTTACTTTTACCGGCATCGTGTTCCTCTCGTCAAGACGCATCGAACGAACTATAATTTGACCTTGAAAGGTCAACTTGAAAATTTGACCTCAGGTCAAGGTCATGACCTGACCGGAAAGGGTCATGTTGCATATCAGTCGATCCGTATCGTCGAGCTGAACACATCTAAGGCGTTTTCATCGCTCTAGCATGCCTCTATCAAAAGTTATTTGCGAAAAACTGTTAGATACCATTCGTGACCTAAGATGACCTCAGGGCATAAATAGGGGTCACAGACACCATTTTCATGTTCAGTGTGTCTAAACCACTTGTAATTCAGTGTTTGGGAGTGTTTATAATGTCTTTCGTCCAAAACAGGCGCATTTCAATTTTCTCCCATTGACTTATAATGGTGAGGTCGCAAAATTGACCTGACCTTAGGTCATCGATATCAAAATTCTGAGATATACATTTTGTACATGCTAATGCTCTTAGCAATCGCTGAAAGTTTCAAAGCGATCGGTCACTCGGTGTAGCTATGACAGACATTGAAACTTTTTATGAGGTGAGGTCACTTCGAGTGACCTGGTGACCTGACCTTGAATGACCTTGGTCTGAAATTTTCACAACATGTGTAGAATTGATGTATGATAAGGTGTACCAAAAACGGCGGCGCTCCGCGCCGCCGTTTTTGAGATATTCGCGAAAAACCACAGGGGGGGGGGGTGTTCAAACACCCCCCCCCCCCCAGCAGGGCGCGGGTTAAGCTCCATTAAACAGAAAATAGCCACTCCATTGCATCCACCGTATAGAGCCGCGATATGGCCGGAGAGCGACGGTCGGGACGGCGGTCATCTGACATCAGCCGGCCGCTGGGTCCGATCCCCGCCCGGCCATCCTCCTAACGGGTCGCCAGCTCCGCTTTTCATGTTCACTGCCAGTCAAAGTACGTGATCAATACAAGTTGGTACTGGCGTCAGGGCCTGGTAAGCCGGCTGGTGAGGCTCCCAGGCCGGGACGACGGCGAGTTTTGTCCTCAGCAGCAGCTCCAGCCCGGTCCACAGACCAACTTATAGTCGCCAGATGCAGGCAAACTTGGGTCGGTGACGCCGGTGCTTTATCACGAACGAAATCGGTGGCAAAGTCGAGTTTGGTGGAGATTAACAATGTGTTGGGCTCAACACCGTCGAGCAGTGTCCGTGATAACCGTCCGGCTCTGCCGGGTGGCGGGGACGTGTGCAGGCCCGCGGGGGCGGCCAGAAGGAGCCCGTCCCCGTGTCGCCGGGCAGACGAGCGGCCCTGGTCACGGCGTGCTGATGTCCTGAATGCGGCCGCTCAGATACACGAGTGGGAACGAGCCGACCGTTTAGCCGTCATGAATCACACTAATGGCCCGGCTATGCTCGAAATTAGAGCTCGCCGCCGCCGCTTCTGTCGTTCTCGCAGAGAGTCTCACCGAAATGGTCCCGGTCTGACAGAGTGGTGCTCGTTTTCTTCCGTGCGGTAAAACCTGGTGCCCGGAAAGGATGGAGGAGACGGTGTGCGTGTGTGGAAGCACGGACCCGGCGGGGAGCGGGGTGTCGCGGAGCCGCACAAAATCGCACTATCAACAAGGACGTAGGTACCGATACATGGTAACTCACAGAGCACCTGCCACCTATTGAGCTTCTGGGAATCGTAGGTAATCGCGTGTAGTTTCAGAGAGCCCCCAAGAGACGATGGGGAACCCCATCTGTTTGAAGGAAACCGTAGAAAACATCCAAAGAATATAAACTTGAAGTGCCAGAGAGAGCATTGCATCTTGACGTTGTAAGACGGCTGGCTTCATGCACGGCTGGCACCTCACGGAACTGTGCATATACATAGGGACACAGACAGGAGGTGCATGGGAGCGATGCACTTGCACATGCATATAGCCTATAGGAGCGGTGTAGACTGCGGAACGACATACAGCGCAGCAGGGGCGCTTTAGAAGCAAGGCGGGAGCAACAGTTGAGCGCCGTGCGAGCGACAGCTGAGCGGCGTGTGAGCGACAGTTGAGCGACAGTTGAGCGACAGCTAAGCGTGGTCCGAGCGATAGTCGAGCGACAGTGAAGCGGCGTGCGCGCGGTCGCGGACCTCCGACCGATCGTCCGTTCAGATTGCCGTCTCCTCCAGAGACCACCGGGCGAGAGCGTCATTTATTTCGGCCGCTCGGAGAAATAATGCGTACTGCGCTCCGGCCGCCTCACCTAATTGACACCGCTCCGATTTCTCTGCGTCAAATTACTTTCGGAGCACGTTTTATTTCCGCTGAGTGAGACGTACCGCTCTCGTTTGGAGTTTGAAAGGATCGTAACGCATTTCTCCAAACTGAGCTTCAGGCCTTTAATAATGATTCTGATATAAATGTACTGAACGATATCGAATGGCACTGTTTTAAATGGCTTATATAATTGTCGTAATCATAAACAGACTCGTAGCTTTTCGGAAAGGAAACTGTATGGTTTGGCAACAATGAATAAGGGCAAATGGTGAGTATTGCGTTCGAATTGGAACTTAAATTTGGAAGCCTCAATTTTAATTTAAGTCGGTTAAAATGTAACCATCATAGCTTCATGGTTCATTGATTCTTCAAGAGCCATACCAATTACCATTCTTAAAACGCTCAAAAACGTCCCAGGCCTGTACTCAGCTCCTCGTAAGTGGCGTGCCCCATATAAGCTATATTGACGCGTGTATATCGTAATCGCAACATGCCACAGGATGCACCGCTATTAGAACGTGACCCACAGGTGACCTCTGACACGGCACTGACCTGTCAGCACGTGCACCATCACGTGGTCGGCCTCGGCGTCTGTGGGCTGACACGTATACTGGCCAGAGTCGGTGAGGCCGGCCCGAGAGACGAGCAGGCTGCTGGTGCGGCCGGCTGTGGTGGCCACCACCCGACCCAGACCCACCGGCTGGTCCTCCTGGGACCAGGCTGGGCACACGGTACAAACAGTGGTCAGAGGAGACACAGCACACGGTACAAACAACGGTCAGAGGAGGCTGAACACACGGTACAAACACTAAACAGAGGAGACGGGGCACACGGCACAAACACCGGTCAGAGGGGGCGGGGCACACGGTACAAACACCGGTCAGAGGGGGCGGGGCACACGGTACAAACACCGGCCAGAGGATCGGAAGTTAAAACTTATAGAACTGACAGGACGAAGTTAGAAAATGGGGTGAAATCCTAAGCAAGCCGGCATGATGTTCGTAGATGTCATCTAAATATTAGTGTTTGAAGAGCTCAAGAAAACTTCACGTGTCAAAGTCATTCCAAGTTGCGCGTCAAGTGCCAGTGTCTGCGGCCCATAGACCTGCAGGAACCGTCTCATCTGGCTTTCAGACACTAAGAAGACAAGTGCTGCTCTCAAGTCTCAGGGTTTCCCCGTCAGGAGTTTTTGTTTCTCTAAATCAACGCATATTTGAAAATGCACTATCAGTGCAGAATGTATTGGGTTTAGATGGAATGCATTTTTGCCCTTTAGCAGAAGGTCCCTGCTAGCGTAGCTCAAATATGTTGTGTGCAGTTTTCGGTGAAGCGCTTTGCTTTTGTTTCGTTTCGTGCCTTAGATTGAGGCGTATCGTCAAGGTATGCAGGACTCCCGCACGGTAAAAAACTATCCTCCAAGGGAAACTAATTTAATTTAGCTCTATCGACTGAATTTTGGAGCAGAACTTTTCTCCGCTGTGACGCGAGCAGCTGCCTCGACTGCCGATGTTATCAGCTCTGTTTACTGCCCCAGCCCCCCCCCCCATCGCCCCCTCCCCCCCCCCCTCGGCTGGCAACACATATCGAGCGAGCGGGCCGAGCGCGGGAACTGCCCGCAGGCTGCGTGACACTGCAGTACACACAACGATTGACCAATAACACAGTGACGCAACAACATGTCACAAACAAGCTAACACTTTTTACACCACGCGTGGATGACGCACAAATGTGAAAAATGTATGCTTTCAAGCTCCAATGCATGCGTAATAACTACTATGAACTTACTCGTAGTAAGGTCTTATTACATTGTTGCATATATTAATATAGGGATAAGCAAAAAGGAAATATCGATGTACGGTGCCGTTCGTAGTGTACGCAGACGCTGCAGCTGGTAATATCCAGGGTCTGGCGGAGCCGGGTAGCGCGGCCGGCTATTCTCATGAGAGCAATTTCCGCGTCGGTCGAGAGGTCACATCATTATGCTTGATTGGTCGGTTCCGGTGTCTTCCCATATATACGCGGTGTTGATGGTGCTATTGTGACATTGTCCGCTTCCAGAGTGTAAGCCGTTCCACGGAAAGAAACGCTTAATCCTGCTACATACAATTTGTGGAGGTACGTAAATATGTACATACATACATAAATGTTACGCTATAAAAGGAGACATCCTGAAAAGTATTAACACCTACGCATTTATTACTTTAATGGAAGATGTATTGTTGTCCATTGCTATGTTGTACAGACAGGGACAATCGACCATGTTCTATTTCAGCAAGATGTTCATTGTTCAAGAACCATGAGCTGCGCACTGCCACTGCCATCCTGCCTGCAGCTTCCATGGTGCTGCCCGCTAAGGCTAAGTCCCTGCACCATACGCTGGCTTCCGGCCATGGATTTGGCTGCAGGATCCTGGTGAGCCGATCTCTCGGCTCCGGCTTAGTCAAACTAGGAGTCGTGTGTTCCATCGCACTGAATGACACGGGGGATGTTCTGCCGATACACAGGCCGATCCGCCCACCGGCCGGCCGCGCCCGCCCCAGCCCTCACCGGTCAGTAGCGGCGGAACACCTTCAATTAAGGGGAGGCACTGCCGACTTTTGGTCCCATTCTTTTCATGCAACGCCCAAAGGGCTAATGTTGAAATGCCAAAATCAAGGGGGCACGGTGCCCCGGTGCCCCCCGTTCCGCCGCCTATGCCACCGATGTAGTGTATGACTGAGCCGTTGTGCAGCCAGTACCGCCCGACCACAGCCCTCACCGGTGTTAGTGTATGATCGCGCCCCAGCCCTCACCGGTGTAGTGTATGACTGAGCCGTTGTGCAGCCAGTACAGCTGGCTGATGTTATGTGTCAGCGTGCACGACAGGCTGATGGAGCTGCCCGCCTTGACGAATAGCTCCCGGTTGCTGGCGATGTAGGCCCGAGACTCTGAAACAAGGAGCGAGAGGACCGGCGGTGAGTCACAGCAGCGGTCGCGTCATGAGTCCTACGGTGAGTCATTTGTACGTTTGATGAAATTTGAAGTCCCTTGACTACAGTAACAAGAGTTTGGGTGTTTATGTATAAGTCACAAGTGCATAGGTAACAAAACATAGTAAAGAGTTGTATTGTGACATTTATTCCTGTGACAATTTATGGAACAGTAAAGAGCTTAGAGTCCATGCACAGAAGCCCACAAAAAGGTGAATAATAGTGTCTTGTAACGAGTCAGAATAACTTGACTGCTGCTTATCGACCATCATCACTTAATGCAGGTGTCGGTAAAAAATTGCTTTCAGTTGCCCGACTAGCGTTCATAACAATTATCACTGACATGTTAGAGTGTGTAACTTCCCCCCCCCCAAAAAAAAAAAAATTGATTTCGGATCAAGTGATCATTAACTGAAGTCATCAAATGCTACTCGAGAACAAATAGCGCATACATGATTGCTTGAGTTAACGATATAGGTACCTGATGACGTAATTAATATTTTATTAGAGCTTTTATTAAACGTCCCTGTACCAGCATTTTTAGCCGATGGGCTTTTCGACTACGCACTGTTGCAATAATTGCATGAATGTAGTAAGGATTGATTTGAGCTTAATTTTGCCCTTGACCAAATGATCACGTGGTCAAAAACTTGATTTGAGACACTTTAAGCCTAAAGATAGCCTTAATAGGTGTACTGTGTCGAGGTGGTATGCATAATGACTGGTAATGTCACCATTTCCGGCTTAATTTTTCACTCCCAAGATAGGCACCCAACTCAGCGGGGTTGATTCTATTTAAGTGACCCTGACTGCGCTATTAAGTCGCCAAATCTATTCTCCTACACGTCCACTGGCGCTTCAGATAAGAACCAATAGTGATGGTAATACCAATGAAACGGGCCCATAAAACACTCATCTTATTAACTCCGTCGTCAGATTTGAATGTAAAGATTTAGTAACGCACACGGGTCGATCGTCGCGATCGACGGCCGATCTGGCGGAGGTGCGACGACGACCGTCGGCTTCCGGCGGGGAAATTCGCCGGAACCGCTAACGGCGCCATCGGCGGCCGGCTAACTGCCGCCGCGCAGAGAGAGGCGGGCCGCCGATAGCGCGGCTGACCGGTCAGTGCCGCCCCGCCCCTGCCCGCGCCCCCGCCGCCGCCACCGCCGCCCGCGGCCCTGATTGGACGGCAAATGGGGTGTTAAAGCCGGCGACTTGTGGCGGCGACCAGGTAGAGGCGACTCCGTGTGATTTACCGGATCGCTTTTATATGAACTACGAAGGGGTATAAATCAGGTCACGCTGCGTTTAATTTTCATTTTCTGTAAAATACAATTTTAAATTGGAATAATTATGAGCATGCCTAAGGTGAAAGTGCAGCTGGTTGACATTTGCTAACGAATTATGGTTCCGAGGTGCTTTTATAAACCAATCATACCATCTTGCGCAGGAAGTTCCAACTAACTCATCTGAGCCCCCACACTGACCCTAACTAAATTAGCTCAATAACCGTGCTCTCTCGCATGGGCTTGATTCACGACGTTCAGCAGCCGCCGATCAAAGAGCCCCGACCCGCGGTCAGATCCGGCGGCGTGCTGACCTTTGACGATGAGCGTGAACGACTGGCTGATGCGCGGCTCGGTGCTGACTTGGCACAGGTAGGCGCCCGAGTCGTTCACCCGCGGCGCCAGCAGCTTCAGCGTCCACGTCGTGCCCGTGTTGAACGCCACGAACCGCTTGTCCGTGGTGAAGGTGAAGAGGCCGGTGGTGAGGATGTGCAGGTCCCGCGCCCGCAGCCACGACACCTGAGGGTGGAGGGGGAGGTCAGAGGGCACCCTCACACCGCCTTGGGTGGGTCGCGCCGGCTCAAAGGTCGCGCTGTGCTCGGTTCGCTCCTGCAGTAGAGGTCAGACCAATGCATTGTGGGTTCCACCCTTAAATGGTCAGCCGGTGTATTATGGGGCATTCCACGATAGATCGTACCACTTTCTTCCAATTTGACACCCTCATCTCTCGGATTTTAACGATAATTGGTCTAAGGGGTAATCAGGGGCTCTGAATCCTCCTGTAACAATTTCAGGCTTATCAGATGAGTGGTTTTTGAGTTATAGTGTATAACATGTTTTGGATCTTGCGTTGCAGCCCCAAGTTTGGCGGGCTGTAACTCTAAGACGGATAATCTAAATGCCAAATGCTATACGGCATTGAACTTGCATTGAAACAAAGAATAATAAGCATTTTTAAAATTTTGAAATATATACTATTTTTGATATATAACACCTCGAGTTTCCTCTCATTTGCATTGTTATGCCTTTGGGACCAAATTTTTTTGAATTTTTATTTACTTTAAAACATTTTTGGATCATTTTTAAGTAGTATGCAAAAAATTAGGAAGGTGTTCGTTCTATAAATGTACTTATTTTGCGTCACCGTAATGGTCTCGAATTGTGATTTCGGAAGAGAGCCTACAAATGGTGTGGTAAAGCTGCCTAGTGACATCACTGGTTACTGAAAGTTCAATTGAAGTCATTTTTGCCTCACTTTTGCATTGTTGACCTTGCGTGACGTCATTCGTACGTCACTAGGGTCATAAGAGTTTTTCGTCAATAACTCTCGATCAAATTGAGCTAGAGAGACGGGAAAGCTGCCAATGGACTCGGGAAGACCTTGCGAATCGAATGATGTGCAATATGATCTCATTCACCCAGCTTCGTGGCCTGACCCGACTGTTAACCATCTCTGTGGCGGCGCTGTTGTCCAGCGCCGCGGGGAACATTCATTCTGGCCAGGGTTCATAATGTCCAGGGTACGATATGCCCAGTGTCGAAATGGCCAGTGCCTTGAATAGGCCAGAGTTCATAATGTCCAGGGATTGCATGGTCCAAATGCGGCCAACTGGCTGCAGATAGGGTATATTCAAAGAGGCCAGGGTTCATAATGTCCAGGGCACGATGTGTCCAGTGTTCGAAATGGCCAGGGTTCATAATGTCCAGGACATAGATGTTGGGATAGCCTCATGACTGGTTGATCTTTATGGCTTTTGAAATGCTTAGTTTGATGTTTAAAAAATAGTGCCGATGCTTAATGAATCATTGAATGGATGATTATATGGATGATTAAATGGAATATTGAATGGTTGATTGAATGGATGATTGAAAGGGTGATTGAATGGACGATCACAGGTATGATTGATTTAATGGTTGATTGGATGCCTGATTGGATGATAGAATGGTTGATTGGTTGATTGAATGGATGCTTGATTGGATGATAGAATGGTTGATTGAATGTTTGAATGGATGTTTGAAGGTTTATCGACTCCCTGACTGAATGCAATGGGGTAACCAGTGGATTGAACAATAGGATGAATGGCTAAATTGTTGGCTGGACAATCGATCTACTGAGTAGTTGGTTGTGTACACATTGCTTGTTGGTTGTAATTATATTGTTTGTTTGTGAGATGACTAGAACAGTAATTCGTTGGGTCAAAGTGATCTCATACAGTTGTACAGATTCGGTTACGCTATCTTATGTATGCCTGTTAGTTTAGTCTTACATTGTTTAAAAGAGGCCGTGCTACTTATATGGCACGAGAATGTCATTAATATCCGTTGGTGGGATCAGTTAATTCGGCGCTTTTGTGACGTTCAATAATTTGTACATTTCTGTGCTTTGTATAGTTAACTTTTGAACTGAAGAAGGAACGTTTCCGAAATATATTCATTCATTTTAGGCTAATTTTGGATTGTTAAAAGATAGTGAGCATACGGTTATTCTTCTACGATATGGCAAAAATTTTGGTCCCAAGGGCCATTATAGACAATTTAAAAAAAAATATTAGGACTTTTTTCAATATGTAAAGCTTTTCTTTCCAATTTTAAAAATACTGTATTAATCTTTGATTCATCGTTAGTTCAAAACTGTTAACCGTTTGTTGCTTGCTTAGCTCGTTTTTGAGTTATAGCTCATCAAACTCACCCTTACAATCTGAAGTTGAGAAAATATTATGCAATGTAACTCAAAAAGTTTTCATCTGAGAAGTCTGATATTTTGGCAGGTGTTTTTGGAGCCTATGATTGCCCCTGGTACCAATTTTCATTCAAATCTGAGAGATGAGGGTGACGGGCCTGGTACGATCTATCGTGGAATGCCCCTTATGGCAAAGATAGTGGCAAAACCAATGCAGTTCAATTTCCGGCTCGATACGGGCGGAGTCAATAACAACAGCGGAACTTATGTGCGTCTTTTGCCAGGCTGACATCAACCAATACAAACTGCATCAGATATATGTAATGTGACCAACTTAAAACTTAAACGAAACACAAACTCCTTAGCTTTGACACTAAGAAGCATGCTGATCCGGATAGTCTACGACACACTGGCGATTTGAAATCCCCCAGCTGACCATTTGCCTAAATGCATGGCATTTGTGCGGAGCCGGCGCCGGCGGCCGATACCGCGATGGCCAGTTGTGGAGAATTAATGAACTCCCTGCCGCGGTCTAAGTGGGTTTGTTCGCCGCAACACGGCCCGACCAAATTTACATCGCGGCTCTGTAGTCTCCAGAAGGGGCGCGAGAAGGGTCGATCTGTTCGTCAGTGATGGCACATGGAGAGCGGCCAGAGCGTAAGACGGTCCCAGAGACACGGCGAATGGGGTCGGTCACAGCCCGCCCTAGCCAGAGTTGATTGGATCTCAGAGCGCCCTAGACAGTGGACACGGCCGACGGGGTCTCAGAGTGCCCTATTGGGGGTCAGAGTGCCCTAGACTCGGCTGATGGGGTCTCAGAGCGCCCTAGACGGGGCTCTGGGCTGCTGGGACCTCGGGCGCTCTACACCGTCTGTGCCGCAGGGCGTGATGGGGTCACACAGGTCACCTGACACCTCCCCATATCGCGGGCCCAGACGGCTCCAGCGCAAAATAGATATCCGGATGGCCGCTGGGATATTTCACAGCTCGCTGGACCCACGACGCAAGAAGACACGTGGAAAGGAAAACTATTTTAGTTGTCAGCTGCTTTGGCTGGTTATTCATAAAGGGACGTCTTCTCGGGGCTGGGTCGAACAATGACTACAGCCTTTCGTCTGACGGCGACGAAATAATATTTGGCGCGGCCTTTAGTCTGGATGAACATTTACCAATCTTGCATTAACCTTTCATCCAACTTCTCCTTATAACCTTTATAAGTATATGATCTAAAATGGATACCTAATTATCGTGCTCTAAGCTGCGCTACCCTGTTAGTCGAGGGTTTCACTGAGAAGAGCATGCATTGAAGAAGTACCTACAATTTCTTGATTCAACCCCCTATCAACTATCAACATCTATTATATCAACATCTATTCACCCGCCCCCCTATCCCATTTCATCCAAGTGTCCCTTCATGGAGCCATAGCTGACCTCATCTCCACTGCTCTCTAGCCATCTCTTCTCTGTGTAGGAGCTGATGAGGTCCAGTGTTCTGATAAATACTTCCCTTTGTTATAGTCTTTATCACATAATGAAAACCTACCTGATATATTGCGATGTTTACTCGTCGGATAAGACGTGCCGTTGGGGTGAAATTACGAGCGTCTTTTATGAAGTCGCCGCAATTTTGTAATACCATTTCCGGCACGTTCTCATAATACTTACGGAATGCAACTGAAATAACCGACTTTTTTTGCAAAATGTTTATCAACTGGCCTAGTAGTCAAAACTACACCAAACACAAGACTTCGTTGTCTTCCTTCTTCATCTAGTCAAGTTTTAGCTTCGCGTTTGAGAGGAACGAGATAGTCAGTTTTCAGAAAGCATCAGACGGCATATTTATTGAAAAAAAAAATGATGCCGTCGTCAGACATTCAGCTTAATTGACCTCATTTTCACATGAACAGTAAAACGCAGCACATATATTTTTAGCTTGGCTTTTAAGCTTTCGCGTTATCATAAATAAGTGGCATAAGTTCATTCCACTCCCCAGCCGCCTCTCCTAACAAGGTTGAACTTCAGCCTTCACCCCTGGAGCCAGATTGCTGAAACCACGGTCTAATGTCTAATTAGGGTTAACCTTTCTTAATTAGCCCCAAACTGTGTCGTAAGCGGCCGTGACTGTAAGTACTGCGGTGTGCACTTTAGGGTGTCTTGTGAAAGGGCTTACACAAACACATTATTTATTAGCATTATTTGTACCTATCGGCTTACATTATTACGCATTTGTAAGCTGCAAATAAAGCAGCTGAAGGAATATTGTGATTATTCTAATTTACTCGTGGTGTCTCATTAGTTCCCATAAAAGAAGCTATGGAACCGTTAAAGCATTACGTACAAATTCGCATAGGTACTTTACCAGTGTTATTGACAAGAAAAACATCAAAATAAAATAAGTAATACAATACTACAATGATTTTAACAATATTGCATCTGGAGATGTCCAATTCACATTATAAGGGAAACATATTATCTAAGCTGGCGTACATACACCTGTATAAAGTTCATATCTTAACCCTCGCCCGCACATGGGGGGTGGGGGGGTGGTTGCCACCCCCCCCCCCAGGTAGTCTTTCTGCTCTGCACTCAACATTTTTAGAGCTAGAAGGCTGATTTTTCGTATAGCTGCTCCTCTATCCTTTCTTGATGTCCACTGAAAATTTCAAGTTTCTGTGGTTTTTGGTTTTGGAGATATGACCTTGTTTTTCAGGTCATGTCATAACCCAAATGGCCAATTCTCAACATCTTGCGTTGGCTATGGGCCTTGTGAGCTTTTAACACCTTGATTTCGGCCTTTTATGCCAATCTTACCTCCCACCTATCATGAAACATGTTGTTCGACGATGTACAGAGGTCAAGGTCAGGGTCAAGGTCAACCTAGGTCATCTAAGATAATTGCGTTTTAGGCAAGCTGAATTTACTTTTTTTGAAATTTTTTGACTACATTTTTGGTAAAAGCTTCTCAGATCATGATTTCATGTAATATGGACACATAAACAATCGGTGCACACATCAGTATACACACAGACACACACAGACATACAAACACATATTATTGACCTTGACCTAACTTGACCTGAGATGACCTCAGCAGCAAAAACCTGGTCGGGTAGTGTGACAAAGAGGTTCTAGCTGGCTTGGCACCAGAAAACGGCATCGTCATCGGTATATGACAAGCAGCGCGCTTGATATCCAACGGTGACCTAAAACAGCAACATTTTTTAGTTTGACCTGACCTGGAAGGTCAATGACTGACCTGAGAAGGTAAAACTGGGTATCATTGGATTCGTCTCTTCCCAAAGAATCTTTTTGGTCTTTACCGCTAAGCTCTATCTCCAACAGGAACGAAACGGCGCGGGGGGGGGTGGCAACCACCCCCCCCCCCCATGTGCGTTCTAGGATGGGAAAATGGCATGTGCGGGCGAGGGTTAACATCGAAAGCAATACGGTCACAATTTACGATGACAGCCGTGAACACCATGCCGCCAAACCGAGGGTAAACACATTTCCAAAGGCCCGGCCGAGGCTGGCATTTGTCACAATAGATTGGCGGGTGATTGAGTGATCCTCTGATCGTCACCATTCCCATCAGGCTTCGAGTGGCCTCTCGTCTATGATGGGCCGAGGAGCCGGCCCCTGATGATCCCAGCAGCTCATATCGGTGCAGCGATCAGTGCCCTCGTTGGGTGCGCGGCCAAATTGCGCCCGCGGGGCCAGTGTCCGTGCCAGCGGGCCTCCCTGCGAGCCTGTTACCCATCCGGAAACACGCCCGATCGGACAGTCGCAGTGTCCGGCCGGAGAGCGCCGCGGTGTCCCCGAGACGGTGGCAGCCGGTCCCGGGGACTTGGGCGGGCCAGGGCATTGGCAGCGAGACGACTGACTAGGGGCGTTTGAGGAGGGTCGGGGGAATGTAGTAGAGGCCGGGGAGAGGTTCAACAAACAGTCGGATGAGGAGACATTTGAGACACTCCGAGGCCGTTACCTGGGCCGTTCGGTAATCAGTCATTCGTGATCAAAAGGAGTACCTATTATGATCATTTTGTAGCAAAGGATGTTCATGGTGTTGGTACTGGGTTACTTTTTATTATTGAACTTTGTAGAACAGATGCTTGGCTATTTCTAGTATCTTTTGTCGACCGAAGAAAATAAATATGTTATGGGAAATAAAAGAGGCATTTAAACCTAACGTTTTTTTATATTTTTGCAGTTCTTTTCTCTACCATTTAATTTCCTTTTCGTTGCGATTATTTTCCGTCCTTTCAGAAGCGCTGCTCAATGTCCGATGTGGGAAAACAGCGAGCAATCACCGACCGAGACGGGGAGTGGAAGAGTTGAGATACTCGAGGAGAGGACGGGAAACACCAAACAACATCCGCCAGAGGCACATGTGGAGGGAGAGAGGGAGGGGGCGAACACGGCCCGGTGGCAGCAGAGCAAATGGCACGGCCGATTGATTATTGACATCATTAATCTCTGCTGCCGCCGGGCGACGGCCGCGGCCGCGGTAGCCGGTAGCTGTCACCCTCTCCTGCTCCCCGCCCCACCCCATCGTCACGGAGCGCTCCAACAGCGCAAACAAACAGATCGCTCTGCCGATATTTGCATTCAAGCCACTCTCTGTTCTGGCTCAGAAGCGCCATCGCCAATAATGTCGCGCGGAACTCGCCATTCAAACCCGAGCTCCGACTGAGGGGGAGATATGACAATGACGAAGAGGGATTCCAATATTCTGTCTGCATGCATGTGTGGCAAAACAAATAAAAAAGAAGATGTCGAAAATGTCATTAACCCGCGCCCCGCTGGGCTATTCAGCCATACGCGCCCTGCTGGGGGGGGGGGCAGATTCTGCCCCCCCCCCCTGTCTAACTTCCGAACCGATGGTCGTAGAAAGACGGGGAAAACGGCAATCGAAAGCTCTCAACGAGGCAAATCTTAAGAGCTCAAATTTTTTTGCTTAAAAAGGTCAGAGGTCAGGTCAAGGTCAGGTCAAGGGTACAAAATGCAAGTTTCTACAGTATCGGCCTTGCACCGTAATTGCCGAAGAATGGACTGAGACTGATTGCCCAAAACGTGTTCTTAGGCTACCAAGACAATATTCGTTGCATACAATATCATTCAAAGGTCAAGGTCAAGGTCAGGTCAGGTCAGATCAGGTCACCAAAAACAAAATGTAGAAAAGGGCATGTGCGACACATGTTTTATGGGTCATTTTATTCATAGAATTCAATAGGCACATTCAATTAGTGATATGGACCCCCTCTGGATGAATTTCAGGTCGAGGTCAGGTCAAGGTCAGGTCAAGTGAGGTCAAACTTTGAAGTTGGTTGTTAAGGCCTAAAAAGGTGTTTATCTGATGCAGTTTTTCACGGCGAGTCGAATGGTGCTATGTTTGTTTCCGTACGAGGTCTGGAAATTTCAAAAAATTCATTTTTCAAAAATTTTGTGTGTCGTGACGTCATAAAATTTTGAATAACTCCCACATTTTTGAACCGATTCTTTTCAAAATTGGTATGTAGGTGCACATAGACCACTTCTCTGACATATATTCCGATTTTTTCGATACAGTCAAAATTTTGGATTTTATAATTATTTTTCCAAAAAAGTCGGTTTTTTGAAAAACTTTGGGCCAAAATCCAAATTTTAAAAAAACCGAGATAGCCATTTGATAGACAAAGTAGAATCACGTATAACTTTTTTTGTTACGTCTTGATTCCTTTAAAAATGAAGATGTTAGCGGCGTTTGAAATTTTGCGATTTTTTAGGCGAAAATGGCGAACATGACGTCACTAAAACGTCATTTTCTCAAAAATTTTCCGACGGATTTCGCTCAAATTTTCAGGGAACGTGTCAAATTGATGTATGATAAGGTACTGAAAGTTTGACGTCGCTGGCGTAACGCGTTTAGAAGTTATTGGCGAAAAACGGGAGGGGGGACAGATTCTGCCCCCAGCGGGGCGCGGGTTAAGTGTATCTGTGCATACCTTCAGGGAGCGCACACCTACCTGAGCATGGCGATACGGCGAGTTTAGCGCACTTTCATGTCTTTTCAATTACTCTGATTATTTCCAACGTTTCGATTCGAAACATCAAATTTCGAATCTATTCAACCGTTAAAAAGTCAAATGACTAAATGAGGATACCTACGTCGTATAAGCGACGCGTGAGTGTAGGCAGACGATTGGTTATAACAGACAGGTTCAGTCAGACTTAATAAACAAGTAAACCGTGTCTCAGAAAATGTTACACCCAGTTACCTGGTGCTGGGGTAGAACGCTTACCGATCTGTCTCCCAGGTTGGCCACCTGGCAGTGCAGGTGCGCCGGCTGGTTGGTGCGACTCGTCACCTCCCGGGCCTCGGGTGACGTCACGAACTCGGGCAGCTGGCTCTGCGACGAGGTCTCATTGGGCGGCCGGCCCGGCGGTTCAGCGGCCGTCGGGATGTACGGAGAGCCTGGAACGAGCAGAGAGACGGTCAGCAGACTGGAGTCGGGTGGCTGGAGCGGTCAGCAGGCTGGAGTCGGGCAGCTGGAGCGGTCAGCAGGCTGGAGTCGGGCGGCTGGAGCGGTCAGCAGACTGGGGTCGGGGGGGGGGGGGCTGGAGCGGTCAGCAGGCTGGAGTCGGGCGGCTGGAGCGGTCAGCAGGCTGGAGTAGGAGGCTGGAGCGGTCAGCAGGCTGGAGTCGGGGGGCTGGAGCGGTCAGCTAATTGAGCTGGGAGGGGGATTGGAAGCCATGGGCTAGAGCCGACTGCTAGCTGGACTTTGTGAGCTGAAGCCTGAGACGGTCAGAGTACGGGGATTCAGGTGTTGGGGTCGTCAGCTGCAGGGACTGTAGCATGGTCAGAGCCTGAAATAGGCCAGGAGCAGGTCGCGGTTAGTTGCGGGGATTCAGGAGCAGAACCACGGGCAAATATTTGAGCTCAGGGTTTGGAGCAGTAGACCGGTTCCAGTTCAAGGACTGGGCCGCCAGCAGACTGGAGTTTAGTAGTTGAAATGATGACAATAATCCGGGGACTTAAACGGGAACTAAAACGCTCCGTCGTCTTGAGTTCAGGGGCCTGAACAGTACGGTGAGCTGGGAAATGGCCATCGTAACCTCACAATGTTTAGGTGATTCAGTTCTGGTATTATTCTAAATAAAACTCGGCAAAGTTTAGTGATGGAAACCCGAATCGTCATGACATACAAGACGTCCGACGGATTGCCTCGTCAAAAGACCCAAACTGTTATTGGTAGGAAGCACTGAGGTTATGGTTCTCGGTATCAGTTAGTTCAGGTCAAGGGCAACAATTTGTGGCAACGGTGCCTGGGTCGAGGGAGCTCAACTATGAGCCTAATAGCTGTGAAAATATAAGGTTCATACATTACAGTATATTGGAACGAATTGCCTTGCATCGGGGGGATGAAAAAGCTCATGAATTGAAAATTTGAAATAAGATATCAGAACTTGAAGCGGTTCGAAATGTTTTCTCCGAAGGGACGGGAGAAGTTCAAGAACGAAAATGGCTCAGATTTCATAGTATTTCATTTCATTCATCTAAGACCTAAGTGAATCAAACTTTCACGAAATTCTCTCACATTTCGTTTCAATGAACTCAAGCGTAGGATCTATGATGATCTATGGTCTTTGCTAAGATGAAATTTTCATGTAATAAAATGCAAACTGGGTCAAAATCTACGGACTAGCCGTGCAAATCATGAGTTGCTTTACAATGTCATTGGCCTTGTCACAGCAAATTTTAGCTTATTCCCCATTGCCAATGACGTTTAGCGAATAGCTGTGCTGGCTGTGCTGTTGGAGAATGATTCGAACGGGCAATCTCCATCTATAAGATATCATTTATGAGCATAGTGACAGCTTTCCATTTTCCCGGGACCAGTTTCATCGAGAAAAATGAAATCCTCGACGCATATGTAAAACACTATTCGCTAGCTGTTCAATGTAAATCTAACAAATCGCACATCTTGCCGGTCCAGTGCACTGCTCGGCCGTGCAGAAGGCAGAGTTGAACATTGGGGGAATGATTCAGTCTGCAAATTCGCAGCCAGTTGATTTTGACGACAATATGCTATCAAATTCATTATACACATTTTCTTATGATACAAAAAACGTACTACCAAATTAAGACTGATACTGGAAATTTAGCATTAATGAAGCATAATGACACATTTCACCGTGCTGGCTTATGACCAGCGGATACACTCGAGCACAGAGGGCAGGGTCAGTAGAGAGGGTGAGCTCACCACAGCGAGTCCCGGGGCCGGATAACACGGCCATCACTGCGGCTTTTCGCCCTCCATTTGTCGCACGCCGGCAAGCAAAGTTAATCGCCCTAACTAGCCTGTAATCCCGTTATATTGGGCGCGCCTGTAATGAACGCTGCTCTGTCCGGGGTCACGTAGGTCGCAGTGGTCGGTCGTGCCCGGTCGCAACGCCGGAAGGCAACAGGGGCCCCGTCGTATAGCGTGCCGCTAAATGACGACGTGGTTACGTAACTGCGGGTACCGTCATTGTTAGCGTTCATGGCACAGAGCGAGTAGCCGATTAAAGTTTTCATACCCGCTTCGAGGAAATTGGTGCTGGTTTGATGAGGGATAATTACAGCGGACATTATGCAAATAGTTTGGTAACAGAACACCATATGAAGCCTGTCTAAGGCTGCTTCAAAATCAAACTATTCAGCTTACGTTGTCAGCAAGATCTCGAATATTGGAATTAAATTTACTGAAATGAATGCAAAGCCGTGGTAAAATCATTAACGTCAAGGAAACTCTGCTAACTTTTTTGTAAAGTTTCTCTGAAATGTACACAGTGTGACAGGCTTGATAATGCACTTGGTGTTTGCCTTTAGTTCATGTTGCAAAAACATGATATCTTAGCTTCGACGCCAATTCAGAGAGACCATCTCTATCATTGACCGTGAATGGCCCACTGATTTGATTTGCGGCTGTTGGAACTGAATGCCCTTCCACAGAGGTCGCTAAAGTACACAGCGTTGCGGAAAGTGGCAAGGACATTCAATAGATCACCAAAATGTGTTGAAAACGGCTCGATCAGAGTTTTGAAAGCCCAATGCTCAGGAAATCAGGGCCAATAACAATTTTCTTCTGCTTGCCTCTTGAACTATGAAAGGCACACAAAGTTCCGTGAAAATCTGTTTAAATAGCTGTGAAAAATTGTACCAAAGCACAATGCCGTTTGAAATTCGAAAATCGGAAGCCTTTGGCCACTGAAGGGGTATTGTTAGTAGAAAATATAAACATGATGAGCAAGTTAAATAATAATTTCAGCACATAATGAAAAATGCAGCTTTAAATGAATTTACATATTAGAGAATGGATTCACTCAATTTGTTCAATCGGTGTTCTAGAAAGATATCAATGAAAGAAGAAAATAGAACTCACTGAGGAGCGTTTCTGAAGTGACAGGGAAACGCCTCATGCGTGTATATGTAGTGGAAATAATGCTTCGAAGAGGTGCTTCATTACGCAATATAGCATTATTTCATTCAATGCAATTTATGTAATACCTTTCTAACGACTGCGGAGCTTCAGAAATGGAACAGTTTGTAGCAATATCGCTGCTCCCGGAACCGGCGTCTATAATTGAGTTGGCTGCCCCGCCGGGAGGTCGCCCTAATGGTGCCATGATGGGCTCGCAATGACGATGGACGCCACCATCACGGATTGGCCGATTGGTGCGGAAAGCCGCGATAGACATCGGGTCACGGCTCAGAACGCAGCAGCAGAGCCGCCGCGGGCACCGTGCCGGCAAAGAGAATGGGGCGCGTCACGTAACCCAACTTCCCTTCGAGCAAGGTGTATTGTTCACAGCCGCCGGCAGAGGTCGCTGAGTGGCACAGCTGGCTCCAGCAGACACTCATCAGGGCCATGCATGCCCCGCAGTCGGTCATATGTCGGCAGGCAGAGGCCGAGTGGTCGTCTTCAGTCGGTTGTTAGTTGTGATTAGTGATGCTACTTTGAGCTTAGATAGTTCAGCCTCGTTTCGATGTCAGTGTCGGTACTACTGCTATTGCTTCTAAGTTCAAATAAAGCGGGTCGGATATGTTTCAGGTCAACCAATAATGCCATAGAGTTGGGAAAAAATATCAACAGCAGTGCAAGAATCGTGAGACGTTTGCCAGACGGGTGGCGAACCTAGTCAAACAGACAGAGAGAGAGAGAGAGAGAGAGAGAGAGAGAGAGAGAGAGAGAGAGAGAGAGAGATAGAGAGAGAGAGAGAGAGAGAAGAGAGAGAGAGAGAGAGAGAGAGAGAGAGAGAGAGAAGAGAGAGAAGAGAGAGAGAGAGAGATGAGAGAGAGAGAGAGATAGAGAGGAGAGAGGAGAGAGAGAGAGGAGAGAGAGAGAGATAGAGAGAGAGAGAGAGAGAGAGAGAGGAAGAGAGAGAGAGAAGAGAGAGAGAGAGAGAAGGAGAGAGAGAGAGAGAGAGAG